AGGATCCCCTACCACCAACGAGCCATTGGCGCCATCGCTAGAGGCCGTGTAGCCACTGCTGGTGGGCTGCTGGTGGCCAAGGCGAGAATCGGGACCGAGGCCTTCTACACGGTTGCAGGCTGCGTGGGGTGGCTCAGCGGATGTGGCTGGCCATGGCGATACCATTTGCGCACTAATTTACCACGAACGAGCCATTGGCGCCATCGCTAGAGGCCGTGTAGCCACTGCTGGTGGGCTGCTGGTGGCCAAGGCGAGAATCGGGACCGAGGCCTTCTGCACGGTTGCAGGCTGCGTGGGGTGGCTCAGCGGATGTGGCTGGCCATGGCGATACCATTTGCGCACTAATTGACCACGAACGAGCCATTGGCGCCATCGCTAGAGGCCGTGTAGCCACTGCTGGTGGGCTGCTGGTGGCCAAGGCAAGAATCGGGACCGAGGCCTTCTGCACGGTTGCAGGCTGCGTGGGGTGGCTCAGCGGATGTGGCTGGCCATGGCGATACCATTTGCGCACTAATTTACCACCAACGAGCCATTGGCGCCATCGCTAGGGGCCGTGTAGCCACTGGTGGTGGGCTGCTGGTGGGCAAGGCGAGAATCGGGACCGAGGCCTTCTGCACGGTTGCAGGCTGCGTGGGGTGGCTCAGCGGATGTGGCTGGCCATGGCGATACCATTTGCGCACTAATTTACCACCAACGAGCCATTGGCGCCATCGCTAGAGGCCGTGTAGCCACTGGTGGTGGGCTGCTGGTGGCCAAGGCGAGAATCGGGACCGAGGCCTTCTGCACGGTTGCAGGCTGCGTGGGGTGGCTCAGCGGATGTGGCTGGCCATGGCGATACCATTTGCGCTCTAATTTACCACCAACGAGCCATTGGCGCCATCGCTAGAGGCCGTGTAGCCACTGGTGGTGGGCTGCTGGTGGCCAAGGCGAGAATCGGGACCGAGGCCTTCTGCACGGTTGCAGGCTCCGTGGGGTGGCTCAGCGGATGTGGCTGGGCATGGCGATACCATTTGCGCTCTAATATACCACCAACGAGCCATTGGCGCCATCGCTAGAGGCCGTGTAGCCACTGGTGGTGGGCTGCTGGTGGCCAAGGCGAGAATCGGGACCGAGGCCTTCTGCACGGTTGCAGGCTGCGTGGGGTGGCTCAGCGGATGTGGCTGGCCATGGCGATACCATTTGCGCTCTAATTTACCACCAACGAGCCATTGGCGCCATCGCTAGAGGCCGTGTAGCCACTGGTGGTGGGCTGCTGGTGGCCAAGGCGAGAATCGGGACCGAGGCCTTCTGCACGGTTGCAGGCTGCGTGGGGTGGCTCAGCGGATGTGGCTGGCCATGGCGATACCATTTGCGCTCTAATTTACCACCAACGAGCCATTGGCGCCATCGCTAGAGGCCGTGTAGCCACTGGTGGTGGGCTGCTGGTGGCCAAGGCGAGAATCGGGACCGAGGCCTTCTGCACGGTTGCAGGCTGCGTGGGGTGGCTCAGCGGATGTGGCTGGCCATGGCGATACCATTTGCGCTCTAATTTACCACCAACGAGCCATTGGCGCCATCGCTAGGGGCCGTGTAGCCACTGGTGGTGGGCTGCTGGTGGGCAAGGCGAGAATCGGGACCGAGGCCTTCTGCACGGTTGCAGGCTGCGTGGGGTGGCTCAGCGGATGTGGCTGGCCATGGCGATACCATTTGCGCACTAATTTACCACCAACGAGCCATTGGCGCCATCGCTAGAGGCCGTGTAGCCACTGGTGGTGGGCTGCTGGTGGCCAAGGCGAGAATCGGGACCGAGGCCTTCTGCACGGTTGCAGGCTGCGTGGGGTGGCTCAGCGGATGTGGCTGGCCATGGCGATACCATTTGCGCACTAATTTACCACCAACGAGCCATTGGCGCCATCGCTAGAGGCCGTGTAGCCACTGGTGGTGGGCTGCTGGTGGCCAAGGCGAGAATCGGGACCGAGGCCTTCTGCACGGTTGCAGGCCGCGTGGGGTGGCTCAGCGGATGTGGCTGGCCATGGCGATACCATTTGCGCTCTAATTTACCACCAACGAGCCATTGGCGCCATCGCTAGAGGCCGTGTAGCCACTGGTGGTGGGCTGCTGGTGGCCAAGGCGAGAATCGGGACCGAGGCCTTCTGCACGGTTGCAGGCCGCGTGGGGTGGCTCAGCGGATGTGGCTGGCCATGGCGATACCATTTGCGCACTAATTTACCACCAACGAGCCATTGGCGCCATCGCTAGGGGCCGTGTAGCCACTGGTGGTGGGCTGCTGGTGGGCAAGGCGAGAATCGGGACCGAGGCCTTCTGCACGGTTGCAGGCCGCGTGGGGTGGCTCAGCGGATGTGGCTGGCCATGGCGATACCATTTGCGCACTAATTTACCACCAACGAGCCATTGGCGCCATCGCTAGAGGCCGTGTAGCCACTGGTGGTGGGCTG